TTATTGTTTGATTATTATCCTGGTTCCTTAGAAACAGATGAGGTGACAATAATCACCTTGAGCACCAAGACCTAAAAATGCTGTCAGCTTACTATTACATGATATTATTACATGACATGCAATGCGTGTTTTTTGAAATAATTGGGTCAAAGCTATTTGAGGTTTCTGTTGCTGAACGCCTTCTGTTTCTGACTCTACATGATACGATCGTGCACCTCAAGGGTGAAAGAAGTATTTATTTCAATATTTACTTCAGTAAATGTAGGAAAACAACAATATTAAAATGCAACTTGGTTATTAATTTTAATGAGTGACAAAATCTGTGGAATTACAAACAAAATGTAACATCTGTATTAACTCATAATCAGTGTTTTGTTGCATTTAAACAGAACAATCTTAAAAAAGATCCTAAAAAAAATGCAAGAACTACAAATTAGGATGTGGAACTTGATTTATACCTGATCTATACCTTATGTGTGTGTATGAATATAAATTTGTGTGTGCATACCATGGAGGTCCAACACGCCCTCTCTGACAGCCAGCGTCTTGGCTCCATAAACAGGAAGTTCAGGTGAACGCAGGTGACCGTGGAGCGTGATGATGGCTTTGTGTTGGAACGGCGCTCCCTCCTGTCCGATCTGGAGCCGACCGCCGTCGGTGATCAGGATGTTTTCTGCCTGCAGCTCGATGTCGGCTTCATCGAACACTAACGTCCCTCCTGAACGCAAAAAGAACAGTTTTGAATTTCGTTCAATTTTTTATTTTAATATTTTATCTTATTCTGCAACAGTTCTCCAAATTTTGCATTTTCACAAACACTGCATCCAACATAATTGACTTTTTACACAATGTCTGAATGTAAAAACACACACTAAGAAGTAATTTTTGCACCTTGAATAAGCAGCATTTTGAGCACAGGTGTGCTGGTGTCCAGCAGGATGGTCTGGCCTTTAGTAATAACAGCGAACGTGCCCTCCTCAGGTGGAGACAGACCTCCCCACGTGAACTTGGACGACCACACGTCAATGTAAAAGAAAACTGCGTTGTCCTAAAGAACAACAAAAAACACTGGATGAAAATATGTAATCAGAAACAATAAAATCAGTCAGACAGCACTGTTTCCATCCTTTCAAGCAGCGTAACTTTACTAAACACAAACAAATCAGTCTCACCATCTTGGCGATGCCTTGGTTTCCGATGCTGACCCTGACTTTGGTTCCCTGAGATTGCCCCTGAGCGCTGGTCACGCAGATGATGTGCGTGCTGTTGGCGGACTGCACGTCACACACGGACTCTGCGATCGTCACGTTGATCTTGTTAATGTCAGTGCTGTAATATGGGAGGGGGAGTGAACGCAAGCAAGAGAGACAGACTGAAGAAAACCTATTATGGGTTTGTAACTCTCTTTTTATTCAGTGACTTCCTCCGTAATCTTTCTTTAAGATCGACTCCCAGTTTGCCCAATTATCTAAATGGGAAACTTCTGGAAGCCAGCCGAGGGGCAGCACCTAGTTTTTGTGAGTTTTACATTGTTTAAAAAGAGCTGATGGCAGATGACTGTGTAAAAAAACAAAATTATGGCCCTTAGTGGTAATGAATACGTGTTCAGACACTAATACAGTTCATTATGTGTCAAACATGCTCAACAAAAAGCAGTATTTGTAATCTATTAGTCAGGATTGTAATCCCTGTGTTCCCAAGCAGAGAAAGTGAAAGCAAAAGCAGATATCTTTTGTCGGCTGAGCACTTATTTTTGATCAGTGATCCATGCACTTTGGGCGTATCTCTCAATTGAGTGAAATGTTTTCTTCCTTTGCTGTACCTGAAACCAGAGCCGGTGATTGTGAGCCGGGTGCCTCCAGCAGTGCCGCCTCTGCGAGGAGAAACCTGAGTGATCACTGGAGTCAGCTGAGATCTATAGGTGAAGCCGTTTGACACGTTGACCGCATCATGTGGGTTAATGACGGCAACAACGCAGCTGACCTCTGACTGAGTGCCTGCAAGGATACAGGACACACACGGAGTCACACACACAGACAGACAAATCACGCAACAACAGAATCTTCTCATCGTCCATATCGAGTTATCTTCTTATCAAATGTGACCGTTTTCTGCCCTGTGACAAGGCTGACAGCATTCCTCGTAAGGACAGTCTGTCTCCTTTAAGGCCTTTAGGGAATTCAGTTGGTGTCTTAAACCAGCTACTGACAACTACTGATGTGATAATAAGTATTTTTTTTGTCCCTAAAAACACATACAGTACTTTAAATGGTAAAATAAATTAAATCTTGCTTGTCACGGACATATTTTTTTAATAGTTTGCATTTAGCAGCTATTAATATTATTAAAGCTGTGGATCTGGATTTTAGAAGTGAAGGTGTTGTGAACTTTTTGTGTTTGGTATTGTAACAGTGCTGCTCAGACTTTTCACACTGTACTGATCTTTTAATGTCTCATCTGAGATGTTGTCCTTGTTTTATAGAAGTTTTATTGAATCTGTGATGTCTTTTTGTATCGCTGCCTGGTTTGGTGAAGAATAAGAATCGGTTGGGACTTCTGGTAAAAACTGCTAGCAAAATTTCAGGGCGCTGGCAAGATGGACTTTTGGCCATTTACAATAGAAATGTGCTTAGAAAGACTCATTCTATTATTAATTGTTTGAACCATCCACTTGAGAGTGAGTTTGAGTTGTTGCCTTCCGGCCGCCGTTTTAGAGTACCTGTGAGGAGGGCTAAAAGACTCCAGGTCTCTTTTATCTCTACTGCGTCTTGTCTCCTTAATGGCAAATAATTGTCCTTGAACTTTCTATCATTATTATTGTTATTATTATTTTATTGTTCTGTTTATTTTTATCCTGCTGCTAAACTAATTTCCCCTTGTGGGACAATAAAGAAATTGAATTGAATTGAATTGAATTGTACAATCTCTAATTTGTAACAATCTTAGTTAATTTTTTTGTGAAGCAGGATACCATCAGCAATCAGTTTTCCTGTAAAAATCATGTTCATTTTCATTTTTGGAGCAACAGACCAGAGTTTAAATTGTGACCAGGGCATGCATCCAGCAAGGATTCACAGGCTAGCCCAGATCCCTCATCGGTTAAGCAGAGTTAAGCGTCACCCCCAATGTGTTCTAGATGAGAAAGGTACATTAAAGCTAATGAATCCCTCTCTATGCAGCTCACAGAGAGGTGGAACATGAGCAAAGCAGCACTATGCGACGTAGAAATGACCTCTTCCCAATGTGCAAACCCACATCTCTGCTACATAATGCCTAACACTAGCCACAGAGTGTGATACACTACCGTGCTGTCGGGGTAATGTGTCTTCTAAGGGAAAGTTGTTCAAAATACACTGCAGTGCATTACTTAGCAGTAATAATAGCAACGTTTATAACCCTAGAAATCAATCGCTGTGCATGCCATGGCTGCATTTTACAGCACGCACATTTTCAAAACTCACATTTTATTAGTGATATTAGTGATTGAGATTTTTTCATCTGCATGATCATCTGCTTTAGGTAAAACTTACTGTTGTGAGGTGGAGACCGGCAGTACAGGTGGGTGGATGTGGATGTTTCTCTGTGAACCTGGCATTCCTCCCCACAGATCCGCACAGTGGAGTTGAGTGGATCAAACCCAGAGCCCTGGATGGACAGCAGCGCACCGCCACCGAAACTACCTGAATGGCAGATTAAAGTGAAACAACTAATTTAGTAAGCTAATAAAAAACCGATTAGAGGATCAAAAGAAATGAAAGAATAAAAGAAAAAGACAAAAGCTGCACAGTTTATTTCACTGTGAAGTATTTTGAGACAAGATGTTTGAATGATCAGTTCTTCTTTTATTTGATTCCTTTTTATAAACAACTTAAAAATAATTAAAATTATCAGAAAAATATAATTATTTCTTCCTTTTTTATGTAATTAACTCTAAACCGTCAGACAGATGCGACTCTCACAAAAATTCTGAATGCATCCAGCACTGTTATTCCCGACAACAGGTTTTCTTCCTAGAGACATCATATGTTCTGTTTTCTTAATTCTGTTTACTTTATTGCTTCATATTCAATACAAAAAAAGTTTAAGAGGAATGTTAGATATTCTTCAAATTAAGTAGCCCCAGTAAATATGGATTTATGCATCTACAGAAAAAAAACGATCTGGTTTTATTTTTTTATTTAACGATTAGGTCTGTCTGTGTTTTCTTGTTCTTCTTTCCCTCAATAAGCACGATTGAATAAAATGCAGATAAACAGAGTGTTTTAATATTGCTTACCTTCACGGGGCTGCACACTGCTGAGCGTCAGTTCATACGTGAACACGACTCCTGACTGGGCATAACCTTTGACCTGGTGATGCAGCATGACTGGGTATGTCGCCCCTGGATTGTTTCCTGCGGCGAACTGGACCTGTGTGTCGGAGACCGTGGAAACATTGCAAGGGACGCCATTTATGGTGATGGTGATGAGCTGAGAGTCATTGCCGAAGCCTGAACCTGTCAGGGTGATGACGGACCCGCTCGGTCCTGCAGGAAATAAACAGAGGAGATGAAGAAACTATATAAATAAAGAATCTGAGATATGACTTGTTGCTTTATACATATATTACGGTACTGAATGACACATAAATCTGTAAATGTCATGAGCTGGAATAATATTTTATCTGTTCAGTAATACTAATGATTAATTAAGGTAAATGAGACTGAACCAATTTCCAATTTTCAGTGACTTTTTTCCGTGTTCTTCTGTTTTGCTTAATTTCACTGAATCATCTTGCAAAATTCTTTTCGGTTTTTTTTAAACAGACTGCAGAAACTGCATTAGCCTCTGCTTGTTATCTTTCTGTCATCATAGTTACCTGTGGTGGGGCTGATGGAGCTGATGACAGGAGTGTGGGCGGTGGAGTAGTTGAAGTTGAGAGGAGGATACTGCACAGAGAAGACCTGCAAAATGACGCTCACCAGCCCCACAGTGTTAGGAGGCGTCAGGCAGATAAGACGACCCG